TCTTTTATTTTTTTCCTTTTTTTGCGGACTCTAACTAAACTTATTTTTTAGACATTTTATGTGCTTTTAGTAAATTGATCTTAATTCTCTTTGTTCCAGATGTGTGAGAAAGTAATTTTCAAACTGGTCGGGCGAGAGATTTCGGACATTAATGTTGTGGGTGTAAGGCCGTGGGTGATGCATGCAGAAGTTGCTGATGCATTTTTAGCTGGTGACAACAGAATCATATTGGCTGGTGATGCTGCTCATCGGTTTCCTCCTGCTGGTGGTTTTGGTAAATATTTTTTCATGCTTATAGATTTTTTTTTTCTCCTTTTGAAGAATACAATTTATTATTATTTTTATCACTTGAAAATTTTACTAGTCACGAAGAGATGATGTTGCAGGAATGAATACTGGAATTCAGGACGCTCACAATCTAGCCTGGAAGTTGGCTTCCGTCATCAAGGGAACCGCGCAACCTTCAATTCTTTCTACTTATGAATCAGAGCGTAGGCAGGTATGGAGTGCATAATTTATTTTTATTGTAATTTACTGAACCAATCTTTTTTTTAAAGTAAGATACCAGTCTTAGTTAACTCTTGAAACTTGTCAGATTGCCTTGTACAATACAGCACTAAGTGTCGAGAATTTTAAAGCAGCAATGGAAGTTCCTGCTGCTCTTGGGCTCGATTCAAGAATTGCAAACTCAGGTCATCAATAAATTTAAATATACTATCATCAGCACCACCACCACTAAATGTTTGGGGCCTAAACGGTTTCATTTCCTTGATGTTGCAGTACATCGCACTGTGAACAGCATTTTGGGCCCCATCTTGCCATCTGGTGTACAAAAAGCAATTTTGGATGGAATATTTAGCATAGGGCGCATGCAGGTCTCTGATTCGTTTCTGAATGAAAATAATCCTCTTGGATCTTCACGGCTCATGAAATTAAAACAGATATTTGATGAAGGAAAAAGCCTTCAGCTCCAGTTTCCAGCTGAAGATCTTGGATTCAGGTACTATTCAGCAGTCTCTCTGATTTGATGTAAAATATTGGGGGGAAGAATGATGAATTTTAGAACATGTTTGATATAAGATGACAATGTAATGATTAAAGGTGGTTGATATAAAAGTAAAAATAAAATAACGATTGAAAATGTTAGTTACAAATATTTGAATGGATGAATAGTGGACTTTGGAAACTGTTCAGTCTTGATAGATTTATATTTTAAAGATGATTTTGATGAGATGAGGAAGATGAAAGATAAGATGAGTGACTTGTGTATTTTTATTTTAAAAAAATATATATATATCCAATCACAGATTTTGGCAAAAACAATTTCTGTAGCGGAATGTAAGTAAATTGTTGTGTCCTGAAATTTTTGAATTAGGCCCGAATGAATCACTATTTACCATGGCGGAGAACAGCTCTCTGTTCTAATACTATTCTGGTGTTCTTGATGCCTACTCTTGATTTTTTTTTTTT